AAAACATTTCCACTACAGAGAGAGGAATCAGAAGGCCTAAGTACAATGACATGAAAGGTTGAAGACTAATCATCAGGCTTACTGGAAACGGAAGATAATCTGGCAAGCATAAAGAAACCTATATGGGTAATGAATGAACATAGGAGTGGGTGGCAGTTACTCTTTTCTTCTTATTGCGGTTTTGAAGGATTTGAACATTTTGAAATATTAGTGAAGCTATTTTTCTGGGATGTACTGCTTTGATATGTAAGCCTAAGAGAAAAAAAAGTTGTTTCTGCAAATGTTGAATTGGTTTTTTCCAGGTCTGATGGCTTCTAAGATTTTGTGTAGATCTGGTTGCACTTGGGTAACTCAGAGAGTCAAATAAACCCAAGATCAGAAGGTCTAGAGAAGCCTTTCTTCCCATGGATTTCTATTAGGTGGCTGTTTTTAGTATTTAGGAGGAGCTCTTTTTTCAGGTGCAATCTTTTTCTTTTGTCAGGTCACTTAAAATGGCCGGCTGACTTGTGGAGTCTTTCGTGTCTGGTGATCCATGATCTCACACTGAAGTCTTTACCTCTGCTGGGGCACTTAACGTCTCTCTCTTCTACTTGCCATCTGACATGTTCTGGGTTTCCTGAATCTCCTAGGAAATTTGTGTCTTTGAGGTCTCTCTCTTCTGGGTGACTTATTTTTTAGGCTCCATTGACTGTAATGATTAAGATGTCCATTGGCTATAGTGGGAACTTAAAATCATGTAGCTCCTAGATAAATGCATACATAGTAGAAACATAATAAAGGTATCTTAGTCTTGAATTGACTTTCATCTTGTATGGTAGCTTTGCATCACACATTTTCCAGTGAGAAACCTTCGTAAGTATTCAAGTAATACACTGCTGGTGGCACTGTTGGAAAAACATGCCTTAGATCATGGTTCTTACTCTGTGAACTCTGGAGCATATAAATTCGCAACAGTTAAAATCAGCAACCAATATATTTATCCGTAACTTAAAATACAAACAAAAAGGTGGATTTGATGCAAGCTTTGGGTAAAGATTAGCATGGTTTCATTTCTTTCAAAACATTCTCATTATGGCCAGTTTCATGTCATGCATAAGTTATAGGTATGCTACACGATCTTTGGAGCACTGAAAAATGTACTAAGGTACTACAATCTGAGTTTTTTGAGTCTTTTTTGTCCAGACTTGAAATTTTGCTCCACAGAAGTAGGACCTGTTCTTTCTCAGGTGAGGTTTATGACAGTGTAAATACCTGTAAACTAATGTAAAGGTGGTTTGGCAGAACAAAGACTCAGAAGTGTAATATTTTCTTCAAAGAAAAGAAAATGAAAAATATTCACAATGGCCAAAATTTCCAGAAGTGCTTGTCATGGTTGGGTGCTCAGCTTGAGATACCATGGATTCACTTGACTTGGTGAGTTGCTTCTTACCGTGTGGTGGTTTTTTCTTTTCTATTTTTTTTTTAATTTGAAAATTCTTTTGTCTGTGAAGCACTTACTTGGGTGTTGCTTCTCATGTTTCTTTTCCTTCCACTTTGATCTTTTACTTGTCTGCAGTTCTCCTTATAGAATTGTCTGTCTTCTTGTCATCTCCAGAGTTATCACCTGTCATTAGGAATTATCATGTGGTTTATTCTTTCTATTGATATATTGATTTCCATATCAATTTATGTGTAGAATGTTTTATTTTGGTCAAAATCCTTTCCAAAATTCCAAAGGCTAAATACTTTTCTGGCTTGATGCTAATCTCTGCTTGAGTACAGTGAAAGGAGCCTGAGAAACAATACTGTCATTGAGAAAAAAAAATGTGAACCCACTGCCTGCTTACTGCTCAGGAATTCTGTATTACTCGGGTGAGTTGTGTTTAGTGATTTCTTTGCCTGTACCTTTGAGTATTCTTTTTCTTTATTCCCTCTCTTGCCAAAAAAAAAAAAAAGTGAACGTATTAATCCCCAAAATGTGTTGGCATCCGTATGGATATGTTTCTTTGTCACCCTTTGACAATACGCTGAGAAATTTGCTATTGGGGGTGAACCTGGGCATGAATCCAGACTACAAGGTAGCTCAAATACTGTTTTCCTTTACTTTCAGCATAAAGCCTAAATATTTTGACTAATAAATGTAACACAGGTAGCCTGACCTGGTAGCTCAGAGGTGTGGACAAGGCAGCACGGTCAAAGTTTGGGTCACTGGGGCTTTGGCCGCTGCTCATGTGCTCAGATTCGCTGCCTCAAAAGTCCTTCGAAAGCTGCAGGCAAGCAGTTCTGGGCACTAGTGCCAACACACAGTGCTACTCAGTTTTCAAGAGGTAGTAAAACCCCATAGTAAATAAAAAGTCATTCACCCATGCTGTTTTGTAAACTGGTATAGCGCTGATCTTGTGCAGCCCAAACAATGGCTCCTTTATTTAAGCGCAATAGCCATGGGGAAGCTGCGGGAACTTCTCAACAGCGAGGCACTAAGGAATGGACAGTGCCTGCTATTTTCCCAATGACTAATTGAAAGACAACTGTCTTTCTGTAATTTTGCTTGATGCCTTCCTCACGACATGTCATGCAGCAGCGTGTGGCTGCCAATGCCAGCAGGCTTGCAATGGGCAGTGACACGGTGGCGCTGGGATGTGAGATCTGTCCATCCTTTTTCTGTCCATCCAGGTACTCCTGCCCTGGCCAGGGAGGGCACTGCTAAAATGTTGATGCATTACTGAAGACCAGAGGGTAGCACTACATCTATACTAGTACTACATGCTGCAGCATGCTCCTAGTTTTGTAAAATTATGTAGTTGTGATGGAGGGAAGTAATCATAACAGCTACGTACATGCCACTCTTCTATTCACAGTTTTCTTTACCCTGCTTGCTAAGTAATCTCCATGTTATCATCTATCCGCTATTCTTTTTCTCTATACTCTTAAAGTCTCTAAAAATGACAGATTTCTCCTTCCTCATGTACCACATTAGAAGCACTTTTCCTTGCCTCACCTTGCCTTACCTGCCTCAGCACCTCGCCTTTATCTGCGCTTACTCTTTCTGTCTCATATAGGATTTCAAATGGCGGTAGGCACCTTCATATGGGTGTCTGAACTGAGCCAGCTTTGATTATAATGGCTGCGTGGACACATATTTTATGTATATACACTTCAGGGGTTTAATCAGCTAGCTGAATCCTATCCATATTTTTTGGTGGGTTTTTTTTTTTGGTAATGCCAATAAATGTGTGTTCACTTTCATTGCTTTCAGATGATACCTTGGTAACTTTGGTTCAAGGCATTGTCTAACCTAAATTCTAAACCTGATCTTTCCCACACCAGAGAGGTGTATTCAGGTGCTGAGTAGTATGGAGAGATGTGTTATTCAGACTAGTTTTGAGTCAGTGCCTCCGTTTATAACTCCTGAGCTTCTTCAACATATTTTTCCAGCAACTAGTCGTACTTTCTGTCTTTTTCATGTGGAGAGCAGCAGGCAAAAACCAGTTCCAGGTAAACTGAATCCTAAGGGAGATCAGTTGAAATCTATTTCATACTACATGGTATTGCTTATTGATTTTGTGCTTCCATAAATCATGTAGAATCATATTTTAGTTTGTCTGGCAAATAATAATTTTTTGATATAAAGATCTGAGAACCTGAAAGTGCTGATGACAGTGTCTGCAGTGTGGATGAACTCTTTAGCTGCAGGATGGCAGTAAGTTTGCTGCATAAATAATAGACTTCTTGTGCCAGAATGGTGTGGTTGAACATCCATGGAAATACTGAGTAGAACAGACACAACCGCAGCTGTTTTCATTATACATACTTAGAAAAATGGCTAAAAAACAGAGGTGTGGAGGAGGGAAGCAGGAAAAGCTTTCAGAGAAGCAGAGGGAGTTGCCAGTTTTTATTCAATATGGTGGAGCTGAACTAATAGCTATTGCTTCAGTCTCCTCTCATGGCTTACCACTACTTTATTTTGTTTTGTTTTGTTCATTTTATTCCTCTAGCACATAGGAGCTGCATTGTGGGCAAGAACTGCTGCATACTAGGAGCATTTTAAAGTAATTTTTGTCGTTGTCCTGAACAAAACCACTTGTCTGCATGTCTGGTGTGTGTATTGATCTTACAGATTGTCTCCTGCCAGGTGGGTAATAAATGATCAGCTGTGACAGTTCTGAAAGCCTAGCAGCCAGACCAGCCCCCAAACAACCTCTGGTGCAATGATGGGGAAAGGATTAGAGAGCAACAATGACCACTCACCCTTTAAAAACAATTAAATAATTTGTTTTGCATGTGAAAAGGCTATTAAGAAGGGAACCCTTCTCCACTTGCCACTCAGATGACTGCAGTACAAGCACTGGAGCTCTGCAGTCAGCAGGTGGAATCTCTATCCCAAAATGTTACTGCCAGGTTTATTAATTTTCGTTAATGATGCTACTATATCCTCTGCGCTTCCAGTTCGTTTTCTACTGCTTTAGCGGGAAGTATCATCTTGCAGTGAGTGAACTGAAAAAAGAAGGGGTTTCCTCTTCTATTTATAATCTGTTTATAGGGTTTTGATTAAAAGAATAAACCTGTTTTTCCAGCCACCTCAGCTAAAACAAGACCATCAATTTCTCAAAACTCATGAAAGACTTGGGGAAATAAATCCGAGGCATTCAGTCTCCTGACAAGCTGCCAGAGCCTGCAGAACTTGCTCTCACGCTGGTGTCTTTCCTGCCCTTGATGTCATGTGCAAAACACGAGGATTTGTGCCGTGCTAATCCCTCTAATGAGGGCTTCTCCCAACCTCTATATAAACCCTACTCAAAGCCGTGGCTGCTGGGCAGGCACCACAGAGCCAAAGTACCCGTCTTTTGAACCGCATTCAAAGCAGTTAAAGACTGAGATTAAACAAACACCCAACACCAACATCCTCAGCAGCGAGAGAGATTATCCCAGTTGGACAGGGCATGGATGTTGTCCCACGGCGGCGATCTCCCTGCCCCGCTCGCTCAGGTCCAGCGGAGAGGCAGAGCCTGCACCCAGCCATCATGGGTGCCCTGAGGTGGCTTTTCTGGGCTGGGCTGGGCTACCTGAGCTACTGCTGTCCCCCCCGGGCACAGGCACAGTTTCCCCGTGCCTGCATGACGGTGGATGCCCTTCGCTCGAAGCGCTGCTGCCCGGCTTTGGGGACAGAGCCAGGCAACATCTGTGGGTCCCTGCAGGGCAGGGGACTGTGTCAGGAGGTGCAGGTGGACACTCGGCCCTGGAGCGGGCCCTACACCCTTCGAAATGTGGATGACCGGGAACGGTGGCCTCTCAAGTTCTTCAACCAGAGCTGTCGGTGCACAGGTGAGAGAGGTGCTGGGGTGAGGGGAGGGAGATGGATGGGTCTGCTAACCTTGCTCTGAAGGCCAGAAACATCCCTGGTGGCATAAGGCGTCAAGAAGGCTTCAAATATTATCAGTTGCCTAGAAATACTGTCAAGTTCAGGATACTATCAGCACTTTTTCAGAGCAACGGAGTTGAAAAAGTGTTTTCTCTCATGCGAACTTTTGGGTTTTCCTCTTTGGCCCCGGACTTGTCCCTGTAGCCACCCATCACCTTTCTCCACAGGGTTTTAGACGTTTCAGTGCTGCGTTCAAACCTCTGTTGCTGCTAATCATGATGCAGTGAACCTGGATCAGTGTGCATTGATCAGAGATCTGTTCCTCTTGGAGTAGTACTTTGCAGCACGATATACTCCCGTGCACTGAAAATGTGTGGATGTCTGGCCAGGGTGTTTCCCAGGGTTGTTAACTAAATCTACAACCCCCTTTGGTCTGAAATGGGTCTGTACAAACACCAAAGAGGCCATCCTGTCCTTTTCCTTCCCATCTCCAGCTCCTCGTTCCCACCTGTAACTTTACATGGGCTTCTGTGTTCACATGCTGGAGATGAAACGGGTCAGGCATGGGATGTGTTTGAAGGCTAACCTGGCCAAAAGGATCAGGCTTTAATAAGACCAGTTCAGTGGTGCTGGCAGGAGGGAAGGAGTAGGAAGGTGAGATCAGGGCAGGGTAAGGCAACAGGACCCTTTCTCAGCAGCAGCCCTGCTTGAAGGAGGGTTAAAATGAGGAGGAACAGCAGCTCAGCCCAGACTGCTTTGCAGGGCTGGCCGGAGATGGTACCAGGAGTCAGGCAAAAGGCACGTCTCAAGCACTGAAGTCATTTGCTTAGCCTGCTTTCCTTCACCCTGATTCTTACAGCTGGCTGAACTGTTTTGGCTAAAATGTACTTTGGCTCTCGCTATCAAAAAAGCCCAGATCAATCTGAGAAGGAAGAACTGCAGAAAATTTCAGCCAAGGAGGTTAAGTTTTGCAGTGCTGTTATCAACTGAAAGCAGAGAGGTAGTGGCAGGTGACTTAAATGGATACGTGGTGTTACTGAAGCTCCTCAAAATAATAATAGACTTTAGAGTATAACTCAGTTTTTATCTCTTCCTTTGGCTAGATTTCAAATGCTTATGTGGAAGTACTTTTCCAGACACTGTAAAAAAAATTGGATGTATTTTTTTTTTTTTTTTAATTTTAAAGGTTCTTATATACCTCCAAAACTAAAGTCAGGTGTCACATACAGGCACAGACCCTGAGTCAGAGGAGAACTAAAGCACATGGGCATATGCCAATATTTATGCAGTCTAAGTAATTAGGGCATCAAAACCTGGCAGTAAATTGAAGAGAAGTGTAGACAGACATGGTCTGCACAGGCAGACATTAATTTGCTTGTCCAAGTAGAAGTAAGCACCGGTATTTGATATTTGCAGGGCTGGGTCCCAAGTTACGTGACCAGAATGTAGTGTCCTTTCGTTCAGCCTTACTTCTGCTGAGCTGTCTGCTCTCCTCGGCTCTTTTAACTCTGGTTTCTCCCGCTGCATTCTTATTTCACTTGTATTCTTCTTTCTCCTTGCAGTCTTTGTTATCTAAATATACCAGTGATAAAACATTAAGGTGGAAGGCATCCTTAAGGATGATTTTCAGAAAGGTTTCCTGGGCTCTGCTCTGATTGATGCTGCGTGCAAAGGCATTTCGAGGAGAACGCTAAGAAGTTCACAACTGTGTGGGATTTGAATTAGACCTGATGCTTTTACAATGCTGGAATGCTGGTGACCGTGCATCTATGTCTATCGTTTTTTTTTTTTTTGTTTTATACACTGGTTGGCTGTCTGCACAACCAGGAGTTTTAAGTGGTGTGACGTGTGGTCTGTATGAGGCATCTAGGGCTATGGTGCCTATGGTAGGCAACATAAATAAAATACACTCATTCAAAGGAACGTGGAACAGTGCACTTCTCTACTATTAAGGTATCTTACTTTCCAAATGAATGTTATGTGCAAACTACCTATTTGAAATGGCTCTGGCTTGTGCAAACTCCAACCCATGCCAAGGCTCTTTCTAGCGTTTTAACAACAGAAACAGTTGTGTTCCAGTGCCATCTTGGCACTGTGTAACTTATAGTTTAGCCAGGGTGTAAATGATAAGCTATGGAAATTCCAGCTGCCATGTAACTGATTATCTTTGGTTAGACAATGCCATTTAAACGTGTCACATAGCTGATGGCTGTATGGTAGGAAACCTGGAGGAGCTGTGAGGAACAGAGGCCAGGATTTTCCAAAGTGGGGATTATGGAGTTCTCACAATAAATTAATCCATTTGAACTTTCTGCTAAAAACTTGATAGCTAAGGATAAAAGGAATTCTGAAAATCTGGCCGTTTGTTGTAGCTGTTCACTGAGGAAAAATGTCTCAAAATCCTATCCATCCAGGTCTGGGTGCTGAATATTTCTAGGGGTAAAAAAAAAAACAAACCCAAAACGAAATGCCAAACACAAATAAATATTGATGAGTGGTTATTATGGGGTCAAGTTATTTTTATATTTTTTCTCAAATTAATGTAAATTTTCTAAGGAGAATTAAAAAACCCCACTTTTCCATGTCCAGGCTTTAGCAGATAACATGCATTAGTCTTTCTTTAACTGGGAAAAAATATAACAGATTAGTACAACAGAAAGATCCAACTTTACTTCCCCCCTTTTGTACAAAGAGCCATGGTCAAAAAGACGATTGTAAGTTTATTGTCAGGATGGTAGTTACTGTATGTTTCTCTTAATGCATCGGTGGCAGCAAAAATATCATCTCTAGAAAAAAGATGTGGTTATGACATGAATGTAGCTGAGAGATAGCAAAGAGTTTTTAGTTCCTGTCTAATTTCAGTTTTGAATCCATTGTATGTGTTCTGCAATTGGTTTGTTCTCCAATTAATATTGTTCTACAATATTAATTTAATTTATATAAATTCTTAAACTGAAATGATCTGCTGACAGTTCTTGACAGTGTGCAGTACAATGTGAGGGGGAATATGGTAATTTGTTTTTCAATAAGGTGTATGTGTTGAATTAGACAAAATGTTGGAGGCAGTAGTCTAACCCTGAAAATTGACACTTGAGGCTAATTACACAACAAAGCAGCATTTCAGTGGAATAGTTAAATTTCGTTTACAAGAATACTGGTTTAGAAGACTTATAAACTAAATGCTATATTTTGAATTCTAAAGTATAAAATTGTACTAATGGGATACAGATCTGGTATAGCATTTTAAAAACTCAGTACAGAAGATTATTGTGAAAAAACCACTGCAGTCAGTCATGTGGTTGCTAGTACAGATTGTGACAGTGATTAAACAATGACGTAGTTTGAGTTCACTGAGTAGTTAAACATAATTATAATTCATTTTTTTATGCCACTTTCTAAAGTTGACATGTGGACATGTGCTGAACATTACTCTATTTTCTTTTCATAGAGGTTTTTTGAGAAAAAAATATTTAAATCTTTTCACATTCCCGTGCAATATATAATCACACTGGGGACAGAATGTTTAAATTCTATTATTTAACTGTAAGCAAATTGCCAGTTAAGCCATGTAGCTGATATGATGGCCCTCCCATTAGGTAAAAATGAGCTTTTGAAGTAGTTATAAAATACACTTCATTCACTTATTGTAGGGCAATGTGGCTGTAAGATAAAACTGAATTATAACCATACCTTGATGACTCTGTTAAAGCCTGTGCTAGGTACAGATCTTCCCCATCCTACAACCTAACAGTATGTCCAAATGAAGAGCTAGAAGAGACAGAAGAGCTAACCATTTGGCTCACACAGTAGCAATCCTGATCCTACCCTTGGGATGCTGCATTATGCTGGTGTTTCAAATCTAATGTAACTCCTGTTTTAATGCAATGGCTAAAGAAGTCTGAAAAGGAGTCCTTTCTCCTCATCTGATAAATGATGTGTATTAAGCTGGTCTCTGTGGAAGCAAGAGGCCTGGTAGTCGCTCAGATTTCATCTTGGTACAATAAAACAAGGCAGAAGATGGTGAGCATTTGATGGGTTCCTTTTTACTGAAGAAAAGACACTGAGTTGATGGAGTTATTAATTTGTGTTACACTTAGTGCCCGAAAGCCAACCACATGCTGTGACTGCTTGAAGGTAGAAAAATCCCTGTCTGTGAGCTCAGGCAATCACTGGGGTTGAGAAGCAGCTACAGTGATATGTGATAACTGGTGTTAGCGTACACCAGTGATGTGTATTGACACGTACCAAGTGTCGTGCCATAAGATCTGTCTTTTTCTCAGTGTCATGCCCATGGACTGACCCACTGGGATAAGTAGTATGGCCATAGTGCCTGCAGAAACAGCCAGATTCACCCAACTTGGCTGGGAAAGAGCACCATTAATGGTGGTGAGATTAGGCACGGAAGAAGACAGCTCCCGAGGCATGCAATCTCATCTCCAGACAAACGGGTTAGTGAGGAAGACACCCCAGATGATTTTTTTTTTGCCCAGTGGCAGCACAATGGTCATTCCTGAAAGCAGTCGGACAAGCAGGGAGCATCTGGACCCCATCTGTGACATGATCTCCTGCCTATGGGCCAGAACGACCTCCCACATTATATGCTCTAGGAACCACAAGAGGTGAGAATAATCTTTGTTGTTCCTGGCATAACCTCAGAGAGGTAGTACACTCAGTTGCTACGTGTTAGTCACTGAAGGCAGAAAAATGCTAAGATATGAATCCTTGTGTGTTCCTATGGTCCCTATATTCAAAGAGATCTTGGAAGGGTCTCACTGTCTTACTGAAAATGCCTACTGTGTGCTGTATCCTGATCACATGAGATTACTTTTCCGCTCTCCTAGAGCTGTACGATTGAAGTCCACCACCACCAGTGTAGCTGACACTGAAGTTGTAAGAGACTGGGACATACCTTTCACGGTGCTATCATGTGAGCATTCCACAAGGCAGTAAATGAACGTTCTGAAAAGAGCAATGCATCATTTCCAGACCAGTGGCCTGGTAGAGAGCTTTAGAAACATAAAAGCCCCTGGGTCTAAGCGCTGCAGTCATTCCTGTTTGCAATGTGGGAAATCCCACAGACCTCCATTAGCTTCTCACCATTATCACTGTTTCAACTGCTGCATAATAACAGTCCTGTGATGGATGCATGGAGTCTATGGAAAGAAAATTACAAAAAGCAGCTTTCGATTTCATGAAGTGTGGTGTTGTGTGCATTTTTGACAAGAGAACATTACCAAATAGACCTGAGGACGTTACAAAAATGTTCAACACAATCAGCAGAAATACTGCAGTGTGAAATGCCACTTTGCCTGGAAATTGGCTCTTCCTGTTTGCCAGTGTCTTCTTCACTGCAGTCCTCCTTCTTACTCAGTAAAAGCTTACGTCCCCTTGAAAAATATCTGGGGAAGTGGTGGAAAGAAGAGACCCCTTAGATTACTTCGTAGATTAGGCGGTTAAGGGAGAAAATCCTGCAAAGCATCATTTGGGTATAATTAGCATCTACCCAAGGGAAAAGGGTGAGGAGTCATTGGTCCACCTGGCTCCAGATGCCATACAGGTGGAGAAGAGCTTTTTTCCCATGAATATGACTCCTTATTTCAGGCTTTTGCAAATTTCTTTTAATAGACTGAGGAGGCACATAGAGCATACCTAAAATATGAACATTGGCCATTAAAATGATCTTGGGCATCAGGATCTGCATAGATTCAACAGGCCCTCACTGAGCGAGGAATAGGCACCATCAGAGCCTCAGCAAGTGACTGGCGGAGTCTTGTTCTGGTACCAAGACCAGACAGGACAAACCTGGTCTTGCACTAACTTTGGTTCTATTAGTGCTACATTTCAATGTGATGCTTATCCAACGCTGTGCGTAGATGGGTCATTTGAATTACTGGAAGCATGACCACCAATCTCAGAAAAGGTTGTTGACAGATTTTTAATGCTTAATTCCTGCTTTGCCCCACTTCTCTTAAAAAGGATTGAATTGTGCCTTTGGGCGTGAGGGGACAACAGCTGCTTTCCAGAAGTTCATGGTCCATGTACTGAACCTTGTGCAATATACATGGTCTAATTAGGCAGTGTTGCAAGGTATTCCTGGTATCTGTCATCTGATCAGTACAGGCTGGAGTATGTGATGGGCCTTAATAGCTAGGCTGGGTGGTCACGAATGAGCAAGTACACAGATAGTGGAGTACACCAAATTCACAACAGCAATCGTGCTCTTCTGATGGGACTCTCAGGATATCATGATGAAATCAACCTTCCATGTTGCTTCCCTTCCATCTTAATCTCTACCCTCATCATAATAACATATCCATGCAAACTTCTTTCTTTCATAAAACTATAAAGTACTTGCTTTTTCTGGCATATGTCTTCATCCCCCTAAACCAATGCAGATCCCTGGCTTTGGGTGCCTTCTGTCCTCGCTGTAACATGGCATTTAAGTCCAGCTGATCCTACCTGCATTGGGAAAAAAACGTAAGCTGTACACCTGGAAATTGTCCTCGTGGTATGCCATTGGGCTGTGCATGATCCAAAACCTAGCTGAAGTCCTCACCCTTGTGGTCCCTAACCTTAGCGCTGGTCCGAAGCTTCATGATAGCATGTAAACCTATAGATCTTGGAGCCTCTGGGGTGACCATAAACTCTCCAAACCTACAGTTAAGAGTCCTCACGTCCTCTTGGTAGGTCTCACAAGAGTCTGTCACAAATGTTTAGAGCTCAGCAGCCCTTATCCTAGAGCTAGCCATAAGCTACACAGCCTTCTTGGTAACAGCCCTTGTAACCATGGGGGTCTTGAAATCTTTAGTGTTAAGTGTTGTTGTGCTCATAGATTCAACCCTACAGCCTAGGGATGTCTGCCCATCCAGGAACACTTCATAAAACACTTACCCATCTCCACATTAGTCCGAAGCCTGTTCTCAGTCTAGCAGCACCCATAAGTGTGGAACACTTATTGCACTGGTGAGGCCGCACCTCCAGTGCTGTGTTCAGTTTTGGGTCCCTCACTACAAGAAAGCCCTTGAGGTGCTGGAGCGAGTCCAGAGAAGGGCAACGAAGGCGGTGAAGGGTCTGGAGTGCAAATCCGATGGGGAGCGGCTGAGGGAGCTGGAGGCGTTTGGTCTGGAGAAGAGGAGGCTGAGGGAAGACCTGATCACCCTCTACAGTGACCTGAAAGGAGATTGTAGTGAGGTGGGGGTTGGTCTCTTCTGCCCAGTAACTAGCGATAGGACAAGAGGAAACGGTCTCAAGTTGTGCCAGGGGAGGTTCAGGCTGGATGTTAGGAAAAACTTCACTGTAAGAGTCGTTAGGCATTGGAACGGGCTCCCCAGGGAGGCGATGGAGTCACCATCCCTGGAGGTGTTCAAAAAACGTTTAGATGTGGCGCTTTGAGACATGATTTAGTGGGTTTAGTGGGCATGGTGGCATTGGGTATATGGTTGGACTTGATGATCTTTGAGGTCTCTTCCAACCATAATGATTCTATGATTCTATGATTCTAACAGATTTTGTGGCATTTTGGAAGACACTTGTTGTGGACTGAATGTGTACGTGGGGTTTGGAGGGAGGGTGGGGTTAGGGAGTCTCAGTGCAGATTTTGGAGAACTGAGGGTAGATCCCAGAGGAGCCCTGGTTGCCTTCTGCTCCCTCCTTCCCCTGGCAGCCTACTGCCCTGCATCACTGCTACGCCAGCAGCCTGCCTGCCTGCGGGAAGGAGACAGACGTCCACTGCAGGAACGGTCAGTTGTTCCCCGTCTTCCCGGGGAAAGGCAAAGGCAGCTGCAGCAGGACCTTTCTGCTGGTGCTGGCAGTCTGCCATGGTGGGCAAGAGGCCACGTTTGAAGCGAGCTTTGCTTTCCTGGGCTCTTCCACCCCATTGCAGAGTCCGAGCTCACAACCTACAGCGGACCCGATTACTTGCCTTAGGAACGATGCCAGTGGGGAACGATGGTACTGTAGTGTTTCTGAAGTTCTTATTGCAGCACCATTTAATAATGCTTAAAGTGTGACACATAGCACCCCTGGTGCTTGTCCTGGATTGCGTTGGGTCCCAGACACACTGTTAACAGACGTTAGTTTTTCCTCAGTTTTGTCCTTAAGAGAGCTGTTTTGTTCGGGGGCTTTTTTCTGTGCTCAAGGATCCACGCAAACTGACCCTTTTTTGGGTTTGATCTTGGAAGTCTGGGAGCACTTGAGAGCCCAGTCGAGCAAAGCACTTCATCATGTGCTTAAGCTGAAGTGCTCAGCCCTCTGATCGGTGAGACTCCTCACGTGCCTGAGGACTTCGCAGAGCTCTAAGCGCCTTGGGGCCTCAAGCCCATTGCCCAGCGCTTCACCTCCCCAACTGACTGGGTGTGATTTCGTGGCCCTGACGTAGCTCTGGAAGGCGAGCCGTCCTGGTTAGGCAATTGGCAAAGCTCCCGGTCTGCTCAACTGCTGTCCCTTCCAGGAACTGATGTCTCTGGGAAAAAAGAGCACTAATTCTTAATTCTTCTGCATTTCACTGTTAGTTTCCCTTTATTCATAATGTCAAATTCCCTCTTAATTCAGGAATCTTTGCTGGCTATAACTGTGGTGACTGCAAATTTGGCTGGACCGGCCCCGAATGCAACGTGAGGAAGCCAGCAGTTGTCAGGAAGGATGTCCACTCCCTGACAGCAGAGGAGAGAGAGCAGTTCTTCGATGCTCTAGACCGTGCAAAGACAACCATTCACCCAGACTATGTAATTGCAACTCAGCACTGGCTAAGTCTGCTTGGTCCCACCGGAGAGGAACCGCAAATTGCCAACTGTAGTATTTATAACTACTTTGTTTGGCTTCATTACTACTCGGTCAGAGACACGCTATTAGGTTAGTGCTTTTCTTATCCAATGGGCTCTGCAGGTAAAGGAAAGGGTGGAAGGTATCATTGCTGGACAAAGGTAAGTATGCTTAACACAGCTGTGCTAATTTGTCGAGCCGTGAGTCCCAGTAGGAGCAGATCTAAGGTGTGAAACAGGTGGTGGTGAGAAGCTGGTGGCCCTGCGCAGTGTTCTTCAGACCTGCTGGGGTCTGGTCCCCAGACATCATGGCAGCGGGAGCACCCCAGCCACACTGCTGGTGCATCTTCCGTCTGACAGGGAGGCAGTTCACGGCTCCACCGTTGGGTGAACTGAGGTGTGGTCAGGCAGTGACTGACTTCAAAAACGTGTTCCTAGTCGACTGGACAAGGTAGAGGCAGCAGCGGTGGGAAACGGGCTCTGCAGTGGTGAAGGCGGAGACCGTGCAGAGACATTGGGGACCAGAGTGCTGCTGCTTTCTGTGGCCTTCAGCAAGTCACTAAGGATGGGATTTGCCTGACTAGCCACAGCTAGCTTTTTTAACCAAACTAGGTTAGACGTTTGGGTATCTAACCTCATGTTTTCTCCCAAATCATCATCATAGAATGGTTTGATTGGAAGGGACCTTAAAGCCCATCCAGTTCCAACCCCCCTGCCATGGGCAGGGACACCTTCCACCAGACCAGGTTGCTCAAAGCCCCATCCAACCTGGCCTTGAACACTTCCAGGGATGGAGCATCCACAGCTTCTCTGGACAACCTGTTCCAGGGCCTCACTGTGAAGAGTTTCTTTCAAATATGTAATCTAAGTCTTCCCTCTTCCAGTGTAAAGCCCTTGTCCTGTCACTACACGACAGACATACCTATGCCAACCCCATTTTGCAAAGCCCATCTCTCACGGGAGGAGACATCAGTATGGCTTTTCTACCTGGCAGTCCTACGTGCAAGCTGAACAGCACATATCTACCTCCTTGCTAGAGGATATCGGCTACCCTGCAGTGGGTTTTCTTCAGCCTGCCCTTCTGATGCTGTTCCATTTCGCAGGGCTGAAGGAAGCAGTTTCTGGCCTAGCAAAAGCAAAGGTCTTTCGGGGGACAGGAGAGTCATGTGGAAAGAAAAAGAGGCAACTTCTAGTACTGCTGCAGTGTTAAATAAATTCATATGTGGGTTGAAGCTTGCTGCAGTGATAAACAAACTATGTGTGGTTTGAAGCCTCTAGCCTTTGAGTGTCTTAGTTCTTGTGTAATAACAAGAGCACAATACAAGAAATAACAAGCACAATTTGAAGAAAATTGGCAAAGGACATTGAATTACTGTTGGCAGGTTATGGAAAATGCTGAGGTTCTCTTGATAGATACACAGTGTAAGTCCTGGGGCTGAGCAAGAGAATGAGATAATGTGGTACATATTAGCAAGGAGCTAAGATTAAAACCAAAATTCACTAAAGTGATAAATCTTCACAATATCCAACTTTTGGGGGAATGTGAAGTTTTGAGAAGCACTGAAGTGAATATCCGTAGAGGAGTTTCTTTCACTTTTCCAATGTAAGTGTTGTAGCTTCTGATGCGTACACTGTTTCCAAAGGTGCAGAGCTGCAGGTTTTTGTTTAACGTCACCGCAGGCAACAGAAGAAGGTGCTGTCTTTCTCTCGACTCATTTGGTACCTAAGTGCTTATTTTATCTTCCCTTTGTAGGACCTGGCCGCCCCTTCACCGGTATCGATTTCTCCCATCAAGGACCTGCCTTTGTTACTTGGCATAGGTACCATTTGCTGTTGCTGGAGAGAGACCTGCAGGTTAGCTGAACAGCCTTTCCCTTTCCTCATGCAGCTTCGCTCTTTTGCTATGTGACTTTGTTGAACCCGCCAAGGGTAAGCTATTTCTTAGGATAGACTCTTGCCCAAACTCCCAGGAGTGTTTGCTCACTGATCCTTTTTTTTGTTTGTTTAAAGTGAAATTAGTGCTTTCAAGATACTGAGGACTGAAGAGTTTCTTACTGCGAACAATGATGTGAAGGTTATGGAGATTTTTTCCTTCATCTCCATGACAGAGGATAGAAGATGTGAATTAACACTATTTTTTAATAAAATCAAAGCAAACCCTACATGTAAAACTTGTTAGCAGACATTGCCTGCTGATATCGAAGATACCATCCCAATGAAAGCAACTCTAAATATTACCCCCTTTAAATGTGACGTTGTACATTTAATATGTACATATATTCAGCAATACATCTTTTAAAGAAATATATGTGAATGTGCCCGACAGTCAGTTGCCTAAGCATTGACTCATTTCCATTTGCGTTACTTCTACATTGGCAATGTTATTGTGTTTCAGCCTTGCAGATCTCTAATGAAAATGATTGGTATCAAAATAGCTGCAGGATCTTGATTGCCTGAAATTGTATTTAACAAGCAAGCACAAGCAAATGCACTGTGTTCCTCTATTAATACAAGTTCAGATTTCTTTCTCAGGGCTACCCTTTCTGGAACAAAAGCAAACTACAGGCACAATTTTACCCATTACCCACTTACGTCACTCCGAAAGCCTCTTAGTTGCTTAAGGCTCGATTAATCTCTGCTCCTGCTCTCCTGCCCCGTTTCTGAGTTGGTAGAAAGCCTAACATGGCCAAAAGAAGTGCAGTCCAACAGTAGAGAAACTATTGACAATGTCTTTGCTTGGACTGATTAATGCCCCAATCTTTTGAAAAGAGTTGGAGCAGCACGGTGAAATGCGTGTAGTTGAAATGCAGAATGAAAAGCAGAACATCCAGTCAAATAGCCAGTGAATACCCAGTGAAACAACTTGCAGGAGTCCCTTTCTTTCTCTTCCTTTGAAGGTGATTCCCTGCTAACACGTTTGTGTCCATTGCAGCGATTGATGGGCAATGACTCCTTCGCGCTGCCCTACTGGAACTTCGCCACGGGTAGAAACGAGTGCGATGTCTGCACGGACCAGCTCTTTGGAGCATCACAGCTGGACGACCCCGGGCTGATCAGCCTGAGCTCCAGGTTTTCCCGGTGGCAGATAGTTTGTAACAGGTATGAGAATATCTAGGACAAGCTTACATACCGACTAACCCTTGCTTTCTTTCAGTAGTGACAGCGTGGGCTGCTCTCGGTGTGAGTAAGCGGCAGGAAAAGACTCAAGACGTCCTTTTTAAAACTGGGAATCACTGTTGGTTTGTACATAGATGGTGCTGTGTAAACTTTTCCCCCTGGTATTATGGAAGTATATTTCTTAAAGATAATTCTTTTGGTACAGGATTTTAATCGATTCAGCCAATTTGAGGCTGCCAAAAGTCTGAAGAATTTGCACATTGGCAAGTATCTTTTTAAAGAAGAAATGCCTGTGTGTCGGTTCTCTGTAACAAACACTCAATTGGTTTTGCCAGCAGAAACAGAAAACTGTTTTGGCATATAGGAAACTAGAGATAGGCTGAAAAATCTGTTCCCTTGTGTTGGGTGAGACCTTAACCCTGATATATTTAGTGCAGTTTGGGGATTGACTTCGAAGTGGCTGAGATTTCACATGGAAAACACCATAGAGACAGCCAGGAGCTTGCTGCCAGCTCTCTGTAGGCATATACTGATTCGAGTGAAGGCAGGGCTTTGACGGGGGATTCACATGCAGGGTTGGGGTGCTACGACATCAGATGCTGCCGGTTACAATACCCATATAACGTTCTTCTGTCAGCTCAGGGGCAGCATGCAGTCAGTCAGATGGAGATACCGAGAGCTCAGGGCTTTTCAAAAGAGTCCCTTTCTCAGGGTACCTAAAGAGCTACTTGAAATTCTAGCTTTAGGCACCAGTTGGCTTTAAATCTTGCCCCTACTTTTTCTCTAAGATAAATAGGACTTTGTTTTTTCTTGAAAACTGAAGTGACTAAACTTTTGCCTTGCCAAGGTTAAACAGAGAAGGGCTTTTGTTTACTTCAGGAGTTTCTGAAAATGCCGTTTCATTTCATACTGAATAGCACAGGATTTTTTCACAAGCACTACACTGTTTTTCTTCTCCTCATTCCCTCTGTCTCTCCCTGATGTAAAGGACTTGCTCCCCATTAGCTACTGTGCAATGCCTGCAACAACAGGATGTCCTCCAGGCCCTGAAAAAGAGGATGTAATGATTGCAGTTGCTTTTCTTCTCAAGGAGATGAGGGATGGAAAGTGAAATCCCATTTTCTGTCATTCCTTGCATTTTCTCAGCCCATCCCACAGTGGGACTTTCCTGTTTTTTTTTTTTTTTTTTTTTTTCCCTCTTTGTTAAGAGTTAAAAAAATAGTCCTTACTCAGGACTGAAAGTTTGTCAATTCAAAATTCAAAAGACTCTTTTAAATTGTCTGGTAAAAACTGTTCTTCCAAAGCCCTCGGGAGGGGAGAAGGTGTGAAGGGAGTTGTGCTTGCCTTTTCTAAAGCATCTTATCTCTGTGGACAGCAAACCTGGTAACTCTTGGTCCAAATGACTGATGGTCCACAGAGGATGCAGAGCCACAGAAAGCCATGGCACGTGCAATAAATTTGGCTCCCAGGCTATGGGAGGTGAACCAAGACGCCCCAGGAGGTGTCAGTGCCCCCTCTCACACGTATAGCTGAGACCTCTTTTATACTATGGGAGAAAAAGCCAACAAGTCATGAGCTTCTTGTGACTTGTGCCTCTTTCTGTTTCACTGGTGTGAGTCCAGCCGCCTGGTCACCCTGTGCAACGTGAGTGATGAAGGGCCGCTGCGGCGGAGGCTGCCCGGGGGCTCCAGCGAGCAGCTTCCCACCACAGAGGATGTCAGGAGGTGCCTTTCCCTGCCAGAGTTCGACAGCCCCCCTTTTTTCCGCAATTCCAGTTTCAGTTTCAGGTTTGTCCTTCAGCTCCTCCAGAGACGTCTGGGTCACGGGTTTTCTTTACGTGCGCATTTGTCGGCAAAATATGGTTACTTGGTGCTGCTTTCACCCATCTTCAGGGATGGACTA